GTCATTTATTATTGAATGTGGCATCTAATTATATGGGTAATCTAATTTTTTTGCGAAATTCTAATCCAGTAAAATTAAAATCACAGTAAAAATTTCCAGATAGACGGTATATTGAGTTGAGAGTGTGTGCTAATCATAGTGGTGATGATATTCACATTCCAGTTGGCTATTATGAGATTTATGTAAAGTAGTCAAGTGTGTGTGACTGTATTAGCTTAGAACAATGTCCTGTTGTTTTTATGTGTTATAATTTTGATTTGGGATTTTTTCAGTAAGTTTTTCAAAAACCTGAAATAACAGTCAGACATTGGACATTTTCCGACCATTTTGCTCAATTGTCCGATGAAATTTTGCATTGTTCTACCATTTTGTATGAACAACATAAATTTTAAATCAATGATATAATAAATTAACATAGTAACCAATTAATCATGTCTAAGTACAGGGTTTCCCACAAAGCATGCTAAGTGAGCTAAACAGCTCAAAGTTGATGCACAACATAAAGGCATGTATATGTATCAGAAACAATTATAAAAATATACACAGTGTACCAAAAGCAGGTAGCATTGGGTATACAGTGCATTTACTATGGTAATATACTTGTCTTAAGGTTACAGCAAATTGCGCAAACCTTGCAAACCAATTCACAAACCAATCTATCAACAAATGTAACACTTAACACTCAATGCATTATTTCTTCAAGTGTACGTATAATGATGCTCAAACCCTTCAAACCACATTCCACTAGTATAGTTACTATAGTACTACACCCACTACTTACAGTATGTGTAGAGTTCTAATCAATTGTGAGATTTATTAAAGTAGTTAAGTATGCATGAGTGTGTGTGTGTGAGGGTAATGCAGAAGTAATTCCCTTTTGTCTTAAAATTGTATGTGTAATGACATTGTTGCTATAATATTAAGTTATTTGTCATTATAACAATGTTGTAGTGACTGCTTTTAAGTTATTATTAATAATAACAAGCTTCAATTACGTCAGTGAGTATAGTACAATGCTTAGTGTATTATGCACTAGTAGATTTTTGCCCTTTTATGGATTCATCTATTTATAGTCTAAGATTGAATAATTTTTGATGTTTATGTATTTGACTGGTGATGCAATTCATGTACAACATTTTCAAGAAGTGAATTAAACATAAAATTAAAAAACATTTTTTAAATAAGTTCTGATCAATACATTGTATGAAAAGCTATAGCACATGCATGTACTTTATGATGTACATGTACATTGTATGTTTTTTGTAACGATTGTTCCTTCTTTTCATTGCCGTCTAATCCAACCAGGGATATACTATTGCATAACATATACACTAGCGCAACTACTGTATTGTTAACTAATGGCGCAGAATTATCGAAGTATTGTTAATAATAATAACAACACAGTGGAATAATAATAACGTGGGGGAAATTTAGGTGCATGTATGTATAGTATTATATTTCAGGTATCAGAATTGTATTGTAGATAGCAGAATTGAGGTTAGAGGTGTTCCTTGTAATTATACATACCCATGCAGTACTCCAATATACAGTAAGAGTTATGAGTCTGATATATTG